ATGCTAGCATTTATTTTATATAATGACGCAAGTTAGTAATTAGTTTGAGAAAGACTATGAAGGCACAATACCGTGACTGGAACAATACACAAATAACCGTACATAGGAGAGAGAGGCTAACGATGTTTCGGTCTGACTTGGATCATTTACAAAATAAGTGTAATTAGCCCAAGTCAGACTAAAACGTCGTCGTAAGGCTTTTATCTCCTCTTTGCAGGTTATTTGTATTTAGTTTCATTTATCTACAATGACGCAACTTAATGGTTTTTTTCAAAAAACCAAAGTTTACATACAATACAACACTCATAATGACGCAACTTAATACTTTCATACATTTACAACACTACACCATAATGACGCAACTTAATGGTTTCATACATTTACAATACTACACCATAATGACGCAACTTAATACTTTCATACATTTACAACACTACACCATAATGACGCAACTTAATACTTTCATACATTTACAACACTACACCATAATGACGCAACATTAGTCTACAACATTACACAACAATGACGCAACTTAGTAGTCTGTTTCATTCGTATACAGTATTACGCTTCATTCATCCACAATATTAAAAGTTAATATTTATTCATAAAACTGCGTTATAACGAAGCAGTTTTTCAATGTTCCTGAAGTGCTGTGAACACTATAACTCCTTCAAAGTACTTATTAAATGTTGTGTCATGATTAAAAATAATTTTATTATTTTTTTATTTAGATATACGATATTTTCGCTACAACTCAACACAGCAGTTTCACTCACCTGTAAATCTGTTACCCTAAATTGATGCAGTTTGTTCCATTTATCTACAGTTCTATTACCAGCCGACCAATTCCATCTGGGTGGTATAGAATTCACCTCGCATCCCCGCTCCCATCCTTTCCCTGCACTAAACTCACCCCACAACTCTCTGCTCCCCCCTTCGTCAACCCGCAGCCACCCTCCTATTCACAAGCATGAGTCCTCTCTCACTCTTGAGCACCATATAGACACCAGTAAGATGCTCCTGCACTTTACTCGAGCACCTTATAATATAGCACCATACGAGTGCACTGCCACTCTGAGCTCCAAAATATAGCCCAGTACGAGTGCTCTCCACTCTTGAGCACCATATAATGTACACCAGTACGAGTGCTCCGCCACTCTTGAGCATCCATATAATGTAACCAGTACGAGTGCTCTCCACTCTTGAACCATAGCAATATAGCACCAGTACGAGTGCATCTGCCACTCTTGAGCACCAATAATGTAGCACCAGTACGAGTGCTCTGCCACTCTGAACGGCATATAATAAGCCCAGTACGAGTGCACTCCACTCATGAGCAACCATATAATTAAGCACCAAAGTACGATGCTCTGCCACTCTGAACGCCATATAATATAGCACCAGTACGAGTGCTCTGCCACTCTTGAGCACCATATAATGTAGCACCAGTACGAGTGCTCTGCCACTCTTGAACGCCATATAATATAGCACCAGTACGAGTGCTCTGCCACTCTTGAGCACCATATATATATCCTCTGTGTCCTTGTTAGGTTTGTAAAGTTTTGACAACTTTACAAACCTATCAAGTTTTGACAAAGCTCCTGGAGAGCGAAACGTTGCCACAATAAAGTGTCACATTAGTTGCATCTGTGTCCATTTACCTAACAACGCTATATTCTACATTTTCCTTCAGGGTACTTCATTTGGCTAAGGTATAAACTTTATCCTAAAGGAATAATCCAATGAATGATGGAATCCATAACAATTGTACATCAATTCCCTTTGCTCAGATTTTTGAGTATCTATATCAGACTTCTCCATTGAGCATGAAATGATTTCGCAGTTGGATGGATTCAGGACGACTCCCATACCGGTCCTTGTGTCGTCATCTGAGCAAGATTTGCTAGAAGGGCTCCTTGTGCCTTCAGTGTGCCCATCAAAACCACATGTTTAGTTCCACGGTCAATCTGGTAGGGAGTATTCCCAACCACTGTGCAGAAGAGAAATGGGACGAAACAATCCCCTTCTGAAAACTCTCCGATGAAGTGATTCTATGATTCCCAAACAGGAGCATCGATTCCTTTCCTGTAACCAGCTGAAACTAAGGAAAAGAGACTAGGGAAATATTCTTGTTCAACTGTTTATACCGCGTATCTTCAGTGGATAAAGTGGATTTTTGTCTAGTGTTAATATTACATTGTCCTCATGTAAGTTACTGATATACACCCTTGCCACATGAAACCTCTGAAATATACTTCAAGACCCATGCCGAAGAAGCTCGCTGAGGAGATATATCAGATATCTCTTGAGAGTGTTTTCATGTCCCTCTTCAAATGGTTCTATCAGTTTTATAATCAGATCAACTTGAGGTGTAGACGGCTTGCTATGCGTACACCTTGAGCAAACTGGTGAGCAAGGCTGGACAACATATCTTATCACAGGTGAAATGGCACCATTAACTGATTATAATCATCTGTATACAGATTATTTTAGCTCACCACTTATTACCCATCACTACACTGTCCATTCGTCCCTACACTGTCACCACCATCACTACCATCGCCACGACCACCACTACCAGTACACCACCACTCCACCACTACAACCACCATCAACGACCACCACTA